GGAGGGGGGGGGGAAGAGGGGGGGGGAAACATTTAGACTGCCCGGGGGGGAGGAGGTTTGGGGAATTGGGGAGAGGCGCTCCTTCCCGGAGCAGTCGAGTGTCGCCTGAATGTCGGAATCTGATGCAGTGACTGTTCGTTACCGCCAACCTCTACAACTTCCCAACCACTATAACGACCCAACGTTTTGCCCTAGCCCCACTGCCCAGTTCCCTTCATCCTTCCCTTCGGGTGCATCTCGACGTCTGTTTGTTTGTTGGTCTGTCTATTTGTCTATCTATATGTTTGTCTGATCTGTCTGTCTGTCTGTCTTGTTTGCAGGTTCAACCCCTTCCCGGGGACTCTCTACGTGCCGTCGGCTCCCGAACGGGTTAGTGATGTACGGCAACCTCCTCCCCCCTTCCCATTTTGGCATCACCATCATCACCAGCATTGCTTTCCAACCCCCCTCCCCTGCACACACACAATCAGATATACATAATACACACTCTTAAACGATTTACAGCTCCGCATACGAGTCGCGCATGAATATGTATGTCTGTCGGTATCTGTGTGTGGCAAAGCATGTAAGCCGTACACAGCGTTGAAGCGGGGAGAGATGTACGGCTGTCGGGTTTGGGAAGGGAGCCCTCTGTCCCCCTCTTTTCCCACGAGCACATACACACATACACAGCACGCTTCCATTTCCCTCCCCCCTCCACCACTACACACACACTCTATCCACAAACTCGAAACACAGGTGGATGAGTTCCGACGGGTACTGCGGGAAGGCGGTCGTATCGTACATGTACGGCAGTCCAAGGGCGACAGCGGCATGGCAGCGTGTGGGCAGTTGGGGGATGTGGGGGGAACGAAGGAGGGGGTGGGTTGGGAGGGGAGGGGGGCGGGTGCAACAGTCGAAAAACGGAGGAGGGGTGGCGCTAGCATGCTGCCGGCTGCTACAGCGCTGGCGGCAGCTGCAGCAGCAGCAGCGGCGGCAGCGGAGGTTGGTGAGGTCGCTGCCACCGCTGC